TTTATCTGATTAGGGCAGTTTTTCGCAAAATGCCCCTTTTTACCACAGACATAGTATCTATCTCCTTTCTTGTGGTAAAATTCCTAAACCTTGATCTTCTGAGATATTTAAATCTCTTGTATTTTTTCTTTTTCCTTCGGAGTTTGAGGTTTTTTTCATTTTTCCGATTTGGTGGACAAGCCCACTGTTTCTTTGAATTACATTTGATCTTGAGATATGGTTTATCACAAGATTTTCCCAATAGATACTTATTGTTTTCAATTTCTTTGAAAAATTCAACTTTGTTGCACAGCCTTCCCAAGGCATGGAGAACATATTGATATAATTAACCAAAACTAGCATATTGAATAGTAAGCCCCTGATTTTCCATAGTATTTGTAGCTTCTTTGCCAAGAGTCGAAGGTACAGATTCAAGATAAAATTGTTTTAAGTTAACATCATCAATTCCTCCTATCTTATGGTACCTCTTATTCATTTCTGAAAAGTGTTTTTCAAGATCCTGTCTCTTGAATGAACAACATTTGAGTTGAAAAAGCTCTTCTCTTGCAGAGATTTGTTCATGTTTCACTGGGCCTGAGAATTCAGCAACAAGATAATTAAGAAATTCAATAATGGACTCACTATTTCGCAACAGCATTTGCCTGTATTCTCCAAGACTTATGTACCAGTAAAAAAGTCTTCCTCTTAACCTAACAATGATTTAGAAATTGTACCAGCTAAAGAATTAGCCGGATTGAGCATTTCAGAATGCATCAATCCTTGGATTTCTCTAAATCTATCATTCCATCGAGATGGTGGAATGTCGTCAATTGTAAAGCCTTTGGAGGAGTCACCATATGTGGGGATCGATTGAGGTTCTTGGTGGTTAAGTGGTCTGAGGTCTTCTTCCATTAAAGGGTCAGGTTCAGGTGGCTGTTCCGGAGGATTCATCATCAATAACGGTTCAGAATCCATAGAAGAAGATGTATTTTTTATAAATGTTTCAGATGTATCAGTCATAATATCTGAGGGATGAGTTTCACTTTGAAGATTCACTTCAGGCTCTTTTGTTAAGTTCTTAAGAAAAGAACTCGTATCATTTAAGGGTTTAGAAGGAATATTCATCTGAGCCGATACAGAAGAGGCCACAACATCTGATTCAGTGTCAGAATTTTGAAACATTTGGGTTTCTTGTTTTGGTATTTGGGAGTCAGTGGAAGGATGGACAGTTGTTGGTGGTGAAGTTGTCTGGGGACAGGGAATTAGATGTTGAGATGAAGATGGGGTGTGCAGATTTGGTTTTTTTCTCAATTGGGGAAAAAACATTGCTTCAGAGAATTGTCTTTCCTCCTCAAATGTCTTTAATGATCTAAAGCCATAATTTCTGGGAGGAATGAGACCAATGGCTGGGAACAAAGTTCTAGTGGGAGGAAACGGATCCGGATTTCTTAAAGTGGGATAAGCCTGGGTATGTGGAATTTGGTAACAATGGTTGGTATTGGAATTGGTATTGGTGCTGTGGATATTGGGATTTGTATTGCGATTTCCAAAGGTCTTTTTCAAGGCTTTGAAGTTGTTTTTCCAAGGAGGCTTTCTCTTGTCCCTTTTGAACTAGCAAATACGATTGCTCATTGATATCTTTTACCATATACAAGATATGCATCAATTCTTCATGCAACAATTGAATTCTTTCGTTTAATTAAACTATTATACCTGATAATCCCTTCATCTGGGTAGACATTGCATTTTTCTTTTCTTCTATCCGAAGTAGTGCTAAATTCTGAGATTTGGCATTCTCAGCTTGCCAATTTAAACTAGCTTCGGTTGGAGAAATGGACGGTCGTAACCCAGTGTTGTCTCTTACATTGGGATTCTTAATTTTCCATACATGCTTTTCATGTTCTTGGGGTCTCTCAAAATCATGTAAAGAAAGAAAATTTGAGGTATAATTTGAACTTTGTGGACAGTTTGGAATCTGTTTATCTTCTGGATCATCCCATCCGAAGAAAACTTTTATTGAATCAGGGAATTTGGATTTTTGATTTGAACAACCATATGTAACATAGTAATCCCATTTTCCTGAGCTTTCTCCCAGCAAATCAACAGATGGATCACCCTTCATATATCTTTGATGAAGATTTTGTTGTGCTGATTTTTCGATTTGCGTTTTCTATTTGGAGAATCATCTAAAACTTCCTTAAGACAAGTAGAGCAATCACAAGTATCAAACCAGTTGTGACCATTAGAAGTTTTTTGTTCATAAACTGACTTTCCAGCTTTATCAAAAGCAACAACAGGGACTTTTTCAAGCAATCCATGGAATTGAGTTGGAAATATATCTCTGGTCTGGCTCTCAGCTATCCTTTGATTTTGAAAATTTATCTGCACAGTTCCATCTTGCATTCTAGTCATTCTAGAATCTGATTGCATCAAAGGCTGACATTGATTTTGAAGAGTTTCATAATTTGTCACCCATGTAGATGGAATCAATTCAAGCAACCTTTCTCGAGAGATTTGTCTAAGAATATAATGACAGACAGGTTGGGAATTGTTATCAACTTTGATAAACAATGTTGTATTTTCTTGTTCTGGAGACAAAGGGGTAACTATGTCAAAAGCATGATTATGTAATCTATACACCATTTGATAATGGAGTGTAGCTACAGTGGTTGTTTCTATCTGTTTGGTGCCTGTAATTTGTAACTGGACTTTAAAAGCTGAACTCAAATGAGGGTCCCCTTGATAGGAATATTAAAGTTTGGGAAGAAGGTAACAAATATGGTTCCTGCGTTCAAGGTTGTTTGTACAGTTCCAGTACATGCATGCTGGTATTCTAAAAACCTAGAATCTAACAAAGCAATTCAAGAAACTGCTTTCGTACCTTTTCTTCCATGAAAAGTCATAGCTAGCTTTATGGCGCCAAAATGGATATGGGTATAACCTTCTCTAAGCCATTGGGGGAATAGGTTGGTAGGTAAGGTAATGGTAACATATTGTTCAGATTGGGTAGCAGGTTTTGGTGTTAGTCAAAAGAAGAGGCTTGAACATATTCTTTTATAACATCTGGGTTCTTTTTTCCACACAATTTTTTGATTTTTTTGGTCCAATTTAAACTAGACTTATCATAGACATAATAAGGATTTATCAACTGAGAATTGGTTTCTGAAAATTTTTCAAGGGTATAAGTTATTTCAAAAAGGTAATCTTGTTTTGAAAACATAGGATGGAAATTAAAACTAGAAAAAGGGATATTATCAACAGAGATTTCTGAAACAGTATCTTCTGCCATTATAAAATAGATTATGATGTTGACTGTATATTTTGAAAAGAAGGTAAGGCCAGCTTTCCTTTCGTGTTAACAAATTATGAGTTCCCACCACGGCTTCCTCGCCTTCAACGGAACTCCTGTTATGTTAACATCAAAAAGCATTGACAATGGAATAACATCAACACTAGAAATCAACCTTCAGTGCATACCACGTTTTCTGATGCGAGAGATCCTAGACCTGCTAGGCAGACGAAGAGCATACTAATCTCTATACTCAAGTAACTAGGATTTTTCCCAACCGACTGGCCTAACACGCCAAGCTCAGTCCAATATTAGCAACACCATTTGCTTAGTATGATCTACACAGGACCACACTCCCACTGGGTTCAAGTTCCATTATATCAAAAGTTTAATTACAAGCACTCATAAGGCCTTTATTGGCCACATGTACCCAACACGTAACTCACCCAAAATAGAGAGGAGAAAGGTGAATTGGATTGCTTCTTGGTGTGTCATTGATCTGGGGCAATGAGATCAAGTATACGAAGTCCTAGGGGTTCAATCTAGGAAAATTCTGATTTGCTTAGTTTCCCGCATATTTGATTGTTTTCATAGCACCTGCTTAGGGACGTGGCTGCATGCTTTATGGTGAAACATTTAATTTTCTTATTTGGTTTTGTATCTCGGTTATTGTATTGAAATTTCAGAGTAGAAGCATGTAGACCATGAGGATGAAGGGGCATCAATAATGGGCGCTTTGTCTGATTCTTGGTGGGAAACTACTTGAAATTTTAAAAGTAGCATAGGTCAAGGCTCTTATAGAATATGCATCCCAAACAACCTAGTGTTGATAGAGTAACACCATCTCATGCAATATTCCTCATAATCCATTCTGGAAGCATACCCAAATGCATGGTTAAAGAAACAAGTATCCATTTAACATTTGAACCCAGCTTGTAACAATGCCATATGACAATCCTTCGAAGATACCAAACCTAGAAATTGTATACAACCATGAACTCAAAGAAATCTCAAGTTCCTCATTTATAGAACTCGCCTCATTTGTAGAACTCGCCCACAAAATGAGCCGAGTTGATGCATTCAATTTTTTCCGAGTCAAACAAGTTAGATTATTATTCACAGGATACAACATAATTTACTTGCTTTTTATGATTCAACATTCCAGATAAAATACTTGTATCCTTGTCCATGCCTTGGATCACAAGAATGCTGACCCATATTTATGATCGCTATACCCCTACTCTATCAAGGAATCTTATCTTGAGAGGAACCTTTAAACCAACTCTTAAATAGCTAGAATATCGATATACCTTGTTCTAACGCTGTGGAAAAACATTCCGAGAACTGCAATCCAGTATGGAATCCCTCTAGATTTTCATTGAATATCAACTCACTTATACATAACTCTATAGTAGTTTATATTGCATTGCAAATGCATTTCAGTATTATAAGACTTTACGAATTATGAAAAAACTAAAGCAAGCCAGAATTTTAGTAAACTGAGTGCTGTAGCATAATTGACAATTTATCCAGTGCTGAATAAATAGCTTATTAAAGGGTAGAAACATTTATTCTCAAATATCCAAAACGAAGTGAATTGGCAAGGTTAACCTCCAACAACACAAACCCAAAAGTGGATATTCAAAGTAATTTCAATACAGCATAGCTTGCATAAATAGCATTCCACAAATGGAACTACAAGAATTGGATTGTTCTATGGATATTTGCAAACCTGACCATCAACTGAGAGTGCAGCACTGTGATTCTCTCCACATGTTATCTGTCAAACAAGCATAACACAGAGATAATTGTGTTGGTAAATAAGGGCTATGTTTGTTCAAACTTCTAACTAAACTGTAGATAGTAAAAACATCAAAGTGCAACCTAGAAAACAAAAGAAATCTCACTCGGCAAAAGGAAGCAGAAATCACATAAAGTTCATCATATTCATCAATACAAACATGTAGAGGAATATACAATTGAACAAGTCAAGGAACACGGCCCAACCTGGATGATACCAAGACCCCACAGGTCATTCACAAGGGTAGGAGAACTTGTGCTTTCTATGCTGCCAAGTCCAAGTGCACCATATAGGCCTTGACCAAAGGAATACACTTCTCCACTTCCTACAAATGGTAACAGCTGTCATAAGCAAGATATATAATGCTCAACAATAGCTTACTTATAGCATTTCAGAAGGATGTCAAAATGCAAAGAAAATCACATGCAAGGCAAATAGATTAGCATCGGATTAAATGAAGAGAAACATCACTAAGCCAAATGTTATTTCTCCTTTTGAGAATGATATTTAAAACTCATACCACGCAATGATCATTGATCACCTCTTGTAACTCAAGGAAACACAATCTTAAATTAATTTTGCAGTCTAGAAATGAAAGTATTTCTCTAGCGTCTATAATAACATTTAATGAATCGTTAGCACGGCTGAAAACAAGGATCCACATATTTGAACTAAAAAATGGAAAGAAGAAAAAATCTCACTGATCCAGAGTCGTCAAAAAATCAAAACAAAGACAACACCATGGCCCAAGAACTGTAGATATCTAGCTAACTTGTATAAAACAATCAGCGCCTCTTTCCTCATGGTACACATCCAGGATAACACTAGAAAGTGTAACTCAAACATCAAACTCCTTCCAAAACAACCTTTTTACAAATAACATTGTATTGAAAAGAAGAGATAAACAGGGAATCACGCATGGGATTATTGGTTTAGTGGTTGATGATTGTAACACTGCATCCCGAGTCCAATTCCTACCTGAACTACAAAAAAGGAGTGGACATGCTGATTTTTACTCCAAAAATTTCATACGAGCAGAGATGTACAGCCAGATGGGGAAAGAGAGGGAGAGAGGAAAAGAAATCTGACAGTACGAGAAAAAAAATCTGACAATAACATGATTTCATATGTGAAAATTGAAGACAATTGACGGACTTCAAAGTTTCAATCTACAGGGTGAATCTACAATTAACATGGAAAAAGATATACATGCAGGATGCAAAACTAAAAGGAAGACAATCGTAATGGCATTACTTACCTGGGATATAGAGGTAAATTTCTCTAGGTGGGGTGTTCATAATCATATTCTTACAAAGAGAAAATCATCAACTTTTTATGCTTTGGCATGATAATAGAACAAAATTAAATCATTGTCCACCCTTCCAAAATCCATCTTCGAGATGGACTTCGTATCTAAAATTCTACACATTTATCACCACCACAATCAAATGATACAAACAAAAAAAAAAAAGAATTTTGAGCATTAAAACCGATCTATTTTGCATTTTTCAATGGCATTAACATACCAACACCCAGAAGAAAACAATCAAAATGAAAAAAAACACAAACATTTTAGCAGAAGTATGGGGGGAATTTGCTCTCAGTGAAAAGCCAAGGTTTTCCACATCAAAAGGGATTGAAGAATGATGTTTCCATGCTTGCCAAACCCCTCTACTCTTCATTAACAAGGAATTCCATCAATAAATTCTCTGTTAATGAAAAGGATCATACGGCCTCAACAAGCACACAAACACTTCTTCCATCAACAATCCCTCCATTTTCAGTGTGGTTAAAGCAAATTCAGTCATCATCGAGCAATTCCAGTCAATATTTCTCTGGGGAAAAAGCATCTAGAGAGAGATAATTAGAGAGAAAAAAAGGGAAAGGCAAAGACCTGAAAGATTAAACTAGACAAAAGCATTTAGAGAGAGAAAGAGCAAGAGAAAATGTGGAACCTACGAGAAAAGCGAGGATCCGTGCAAAGAGATCAGGACTCTCGTATCCATTAAAGTCCCGAAATTATGATTAATGTAGCATCTCTTCATATGAATCGCTGCTAAAAACACCATTACTACGATTATGATCAGAGGAAGAGTGTGATATATAAAAGTGAGAATTTCCATCAAAAATTTGCGAAAAAAATTTGAATGAAGATAAATCGTTATTAAAAACACCATAGATAGCTTCGATTCACTGAAAAAACCAAGGAGAAAGTGGGTAAATTAAAACGAAAATCAACCTGCAGAGAAAATAGAAATAACAGGGATAGAATGCGGTGAGGGGAAGGGCATGAGCACCACGACCTTATAAGGCTTCGTGGAGAACGAAGAGAGAAGAAATTAGGGTTTCTATTTGCCCTAGGATGGACGGCTTAGATAGTGCTGGTGGAAGCAGTGCGTAAATATGGGCTTGGGCCTTATTGGTTCATTTTATGATCAATGCAACACTGCATCCCGAGTTTGATTCCTACCTGAACTACAAAAAAAGGAGCATACATGCTTGATTTGTACTCCAAAAACTTCATACGGGTAGATATGTACAGCCTGACGAGGAAAGAGAGGGAGAGAGAGGAAAAGAAATGCGACAGTACGAGAAAGAAAACGAAAAACTAACATGATATCATATGTGAAAATTGAACACAATTGCGGGAGTTGAAACTACAATTAAAATAGAAAATGATATACACACAGTATGCAAAACTAAAACGAAGACATTCGTAACGGCATTATTTACTGGGGATATGGAAGTAAATTTCTCTGGGTGGGGTATTCCTTAACAAATTCTTACAAGGAGAAAACCATCAACTTTTTTATGCTTTGGCATGATAATCAACCAAAATTAAATCATTTTCCACCTTTCCAAAATCCATCTTCGAGATGGACTTCATATCTAAAATTCTACACATTTATCACCACTACAACCAAATGATACTAACAAAAAAAAAGAATTTTAAGCATTAAAACTAATCAATTTTGCATTTTTACATGGTATTAAGATACCAGTACCTAGAAGAAAACTAACAAAATGAAAAGAAAACACAAACATTTTACTAGAAGTACAGGGGGAGTTTGCTCTCAGTGAAGGACCAAGGTGTTCCACATCAAAAGGGATTGAAGAATCAGACCCCCTCTCCTCTTCATTAATAGAGAATTCCATCAATAAATCCTTTGTTAATGAAAAGGATCATACGGCCTCGACAAGCACACAAACACTTCTTCCATCAACAATCCCTCCATTTTCAGTGTGGTTAAAGTAAATTCAGTCATCATCGAGCAATTCCAGTCAATATTTCTCTGGGCAAGGGCAAAAGAATCTAAAGAGAGATAAGTAGAGAGAAATAAAGGTCTGAAAGATTAAACTAGGCAAAAGCATTTAGAGAGAGAGAGAGCAAGAGAAAATGTGGAACCTAAAAGAAAAGCAACGGTCCGTGCAAAGAGATCAGGACACTCGTGTCCATTAAAGTCCAAAAATCATGAATTAATGTAGCATATCTTCATAGGAATCACTGCTAAAAACACCATTACTGCGATTATGATCAGAGGAAGAGTGCAATATATAAAAGGAAAAATATCCATCAAAATCTTGAGAAAAAAAATTCAAATCAAGATATATCGTTGTTAAAAGCACCATAGATAGCTTTGATTCAGAGGAAAAACCAAGGAGAATGTTGGTAAATTAAAAAAAAAATCAACCTGCAAAGAAAATAGTAATAACATGGATGGAATCTGGTTATGGGAAGGCTATGAGCGCCACGACCTTATAAGGTTTCTGGGAGAACAGAGAGAAAAGAAATTAGGGCATCTCTTCGCCCTAGGATGGATAGCTTAGATAGTGCTGGTGGAAGAAGTCGGTAAATATGGGCTTGGGCTTTATTGGTTCATTGGATGATGAATGTAACACTGCATCCCGAGTTCTATTCCTACCTGAACTACAAAATAGGAGCGTACATGCCGATTTGTACTCCAAAAATTTCATCCGAGCAGAGATTTACAGCCTGAAGGGCAGCGAGAGTGAGAGAGAGTAAAAGAAATGGAACAGTACGAGAAAGAAAAAGAAAAAAAACACGATTTCATAGTGAAAATTGAAGACAATTGCAGGACTTCAAAGTTACAATCTTCAAGGTGAAACTACAATTAAAAATAGAAAAAGATATACGTGCAGTATGCAAAACTAAAAGAAGGACATTTGTAATGCCATTGTTTACTTGAGATATAGAGGTAAATTTCTCTAGGTGGGATGATCATAATCATATTCTTCCAAGGAGAAAATCATCAACCTTTTTATGCTTTGGCATGATAATCAAATAAAATTAAATCATTTTCCACCCTTCCAAAATCCATCTTCGAGATAAACTTCGCATCTAAAATTCTACACATTTATCACCACTACAAAGCAAATGATACTAACAACAAAAAAGAATTTTGAGCATTAAAACTGATGTATTTTGCAATTTTTCATGGTATTAAGATACCACCGCCCAGAAGAAAACTAACAAAATGAAAAGAAAACACAAACAATTTACCAGAAGTACAGGGGGAGTTTGCTCTCAGTGAAGGGCCAAGGTTTTCCACATCCAAAGGGATTGAAGAAAGGGCAAGAGAAAATGTGGAACCTACGAGAAAAGCGAGGGTCCGTGAAAAGAGATCAGGACACTCGTGTCCATTAAAGTTCCGAAATTATGAACTAATGTAGCATCTCTTCATAGGAATCGCAGCTAAAAACACCATTACTGCGATTATGATCAAAGAAAGAGTGCAATATATAAAAGTGAGAATTTAAATCAAAAGTTTTCGAAAAAAAATCGCATGAAGATAAATCGTTGTTAAAAACACCATAGATAGCATCGATTCAGACGAAAAACCAAGGAGAATGTTGGTAAATTAAACGAAAATCAACCTGCAGAAAAAACAGAAATAACATGGACGGGATGCGGTGAGAGGAAGGGCATCAGCGCCTTGACCTTATAAGGTTTCTTGAAGAATGGAGAGAGAAGAAATTAGGGTTTCTCTTTGGCCTAGGATGGAAGGCTTAGATAGTGCTGGGGGAAGCAATCGGTAAATATGGGCTTCGGTTTTAATGGTTTAATGGATGATGAATGTAGCACTGCATCCCAAGTTCGAATCCTACCTGAACTACAAAAGGAGCGCACATGCTGATTTGTACTCCAAAAATTTCATCCAAGCAAAGATGTACAGCCTGACGGAGAGAGAGAGAGAGAGAGAGAGAGAGGAAAAGAAATGGAACAGTATGAGAAAGAAAAAGTAAAAATAACAAGATTTCATATGTGAAATTGAAGACAATTAAGGGACTTCAAAGTTTCAATCT